AAAAAGATAAAAATAATGTTTATATATACTACGTAAAAGGATATAAGGATAAAAAAATGAAGGGAAAAGATAATACGAGATCATTCCTCCACACGAATACCCGCCCTCCACTTTGCTCTCTCCAAAGCCATACCCTCATCCAACCCATGAAGAAGCATATCACTTCGGACTCCCCTAACCCACGTCTGTTTGGGCCTTCCTCTCCCCTCTTCCTTGCCTCTTCTCCACACATCTCAACTCGTCCGACAAGTGCATCACCCGGTCTTCTACGCACATGACCAAACCACCGTAGGCACAACTCCCGCATCTTGTCTTCAATAGGTGCTACTCCCACCCTTTGTCTTATTGTCTCATTCCTCACGTGTCCTTCCTAGTATGCCCACACATCCAACGCAGCCATGCGCATCTCTGCCACACTCATCTTTTGAATGTGACATTGTTTCACCGCCCAACACTCTACGCCATATAGTAATGGAAGCCTAATTGTTGTCCTATAAAATTTACCCTTCAGTCTAGTCGGCATACCTCTATCACATAGAAATCCTGACGCACTCTTCCACTTCATCCACCTTGTTCTGATTCTATGAGATACTTCTTCATTTAACTCACCGTCCTTCTGAATTATGGAGCCCAAGTAACGGAACATATCGCTGACCGGTATCTCTTTACCATCCAGAGTGATTCCGCTATTACCACTGCTTCTACCTCCACCAAACTTGCACTCCATGTACTCTGTCTTGCTCCGACTTAGTCTGAAACCCTTGTTCTCCAATGTTTGTCGCCATACTTCCAACTTTGTTTTAAGACCTGATTGTGTCTCATCAATCAATACAATATCGTCGGCAAACATCATGCACCACGGTATTTCGTCTTGAATTGACTTCGTAAGTTCATCCATGACTATGACAAATAAGAAAGGGCTCAGATTCGATCATTGGTGCACTCTGATAGTAATAGGGAACTCTGCAGTCCTCCCTACACTAGTACGGATACTTGTAGTATAGCCCTCATACATATCCAAGATGATGCTGATATACTTGCGTGATATGCCTTTTCTAGTTATGGCCCACCAAAGAACTTCTCAAGGTGCTCTATCATAAGCCTTTTCTAAGTCAATGAACACCAAATGCAAATCCTTGTGAGCGTCTCTATACTTCTCCATAAGTTGCCGAAAAAGGTGAATGGCCTTAGTTGTTGAGCGACCAGGCATAAAACCGAATTGATTCTCTGAAATCTTCACAGTTCTTCGAAGTCTTTGCTCAATCACTCTCTCCTAAAGTTTCATGGTGTGACTCATAAGCTTAATCCCTTGATAGTTGGCACATTCTTGTACATCACTTTTATTCTTGAATAAGGGGTACTCTTCCTCCAACTCATTGGCATCTTGTTGTTTCTCCAAATCATGTTGAAGAAACTTGTTAACAACTCGACGCCTCTCTCTCCCAAACTTCTCCAAGCCTCGAAATAGGAGTAAATAAGTTTGAAAATTCCAAAATAGGGCTGACATGTTTTTATTCCCAAAATAGGAGTAATTACTGCCAAGTTTGGAAAATACTGTCATGTTTAAAGTCTGGTACTAACAAAACATGACAGTAATACGTCCTATTTTGGGAATAAAAACATGGCAGTCCTATTTTGGTATATACAAATGTTTTTAGTCCTATTTAGGGTAAATTCCCAAAAACATTCCAAAACGATCCACCCAAACATGATCATGTTACTCGTCTTTATTCTCAGTGTCGATAGCCCATAAGGCCATAAATGATATGCAAAACCAATAATCCCAGCAAGAAGAAACATCGCAATTGCTCCTGTTCCATTCACAGTATCAAAGTTATACTAAATCACAAAAATGTGCCTTGTAATATTTTATCCCTTAACATTAGATTTTAAGGTGTTGGTTGTCCTAATAAATTAATGTTTGAAATGTGTGGAAATACAAACTTGTGCTTCCAAGAGTCATCAAATGCATCCAGAAAATTTCCATATCTATCCCTAAGTGCCAAATTCATTAACATGTAACTTGCAAATTCATAACCTAAGCATATATGTTGTTTCCCATGTGTGTAGTCCACCCCCTGGTCTAGCACATCCCCGCCCCCTTCAGTATATAATCACATATCACCATGTTTAAGCAAGGGTAGGCACCAGTTGGTGCGCCGCCATTCTATGAACTCTTGGCTGTTCATATGACTGATGCATACACCCTCTTATATAATGTAGTTTAAGACCATGAGTATATATGAATGTATAGTTCTTATGTCACCGATAAATATGTTATCTTAAAAATAAAATGTATAGGAAGGATTCATTTTTCAGATCGTACAACCTGTAAGGCTCCATACCACCTGTGATGTGTAGAGTTAGAGGACAAGCCTTGGTGGAATCTGAAGCACCGAATGCTTGTGCCCTCCCAGTGTTTTTTTGTTGTACAGACTGTAGGGATGGCCTCGGGCCGGTTCGGGCCCGGTTCGGTCCTAGGACCGGCCGGGCCTCGGGTCTGTTTTGTTGGGCCCGAGCCCGAACCGGTGGCCACCGGTTCCGGGCCGGACCGGGCCACCCCGGTTAGTTTTTTTTTTCTCCTTTTCTTTTCTCCCCCCCCCCCCACCCCCCACCCCCCCCAAAACCCCCCAAACCGGTCCTAAACATCAAGCCCAACTCAATAAAGCCCAAAAAAATGAAGAAAAAAAAACAGTTTTTGGCCCGGACCCGGGCCCGACCCGGCCGGGCCGATTCGCCAAAAACTGTAACCGAGCCCGGAACCGCCCAAGCCCTCGGGCCTAGGCCCGAACCGGACCCGGACCCGGACCCGGAAAACCGGGCCGGGCCGGTCCCGCACAGTAGCGGGCCGGTTCCCGGGCCGGGCGGCCCGAACCGAGGCCATCCCTAACAGACTGTGAGTATTATGTTTACCCATACATTTTACACTTTTCATTTGAAAGGTGTGTCATTTTTCGTTCTCAACAGAAAGTGGTTATAAGAACACAAAAAGGGCAACCCACATAAGACATATTTCTCGTTTTTTGTTTGCCGTGTTAAATTTGAGACTTGAAGTCAGAAATCTCTAGGTGGGACCTATCCAAAGTGTTAGTGGTAAAATAAAAGAATATACGAAGTATCACATGCAGTTAATTCTCATAGCCATAGGTTCATACGTTTTACAGTTTTAGAATGAATGTGTGGATTCTAGGCAACTTCCAAAAGTATCATATACATTGTTCCAAGCTGTGTATTAAAAAAATGCAACTTGCAATGCCTGTACATGTTAATATAAAACAGTTAAGAAGCCAAAGAATTTCGCATGTTGACATCCCTTTTCTTAGATCTTTTAATAAAGCAGTTATATTTAATAAAACTCTTTATATGGAAGTCGCCTTTTGAAACAATGTCTCATTTTGGGATTATGGGATTTCAACTTTTCCCTTTAAGGTTTTGTGAAGAAGGTTGAATGGTAGCTTGAATTGGTATGGTACTGTTTAACTGAATGAATATGAGGCTTCTAGCTGGTATTAGATGGATCTATTTTGGATTGTTATTTGAGGGTGTTACCTTTCAAGTTCATAGTACTGTTTGTGACCTTCCAAGAATCATTGGTAGAGATGGAAACTTTTGGAATGTGTTTAATAAGGCCTGAGAGGCTGAGAGCGCATGTTGTCTAAACATCACTTTTTCTTCTATTCCAGCCAATATGGAGCGCAGGTATGCATTTACACACCTTTAAAACACTCATCATCATTATCATCACTAAAACACAATTTTTAGATACTAATTACTCCGTACATAATTTAAAAGAAATCACCATTCTCGATTATGGTTATTGTTGAATGAAAACTCTTTGTTCTTTTTGGGTGAATTTTAAATCTCAATACAACTTATTCTTCTATAATCTTTGTGTGTCTGCATTGCTGAGAGTACAATGAAGAACTGAATGACTTATTTTTTATACTTCTATTTTTTAAGACTTCACCAAAAGCTTTCATGCGCGAGGTCTTTGTATCATATACGTAGTATGTCTTTACAGTTTTTGCTGTTGTATGAATTTTGTGTGGGTACAATGACACTCTCCCCAGGAGCTGGCAGAGGCAGCGTTACATTTTATAGAAGCAAAGCCTTGTGGAGGTTCATTTTACCCCTCTTCAATTATTTAAAGGCAAACTAGTAAATTTGTTACACATATTATGATACGAAGTATTTTACTCCCTCCGTTTCAAAATAAACCTCACAGTCAAACTTTTTGGGTCAAACTTGTTAAACTTTGACCGCTTATTACTCAAAATTAATAATATTTTATCCCAAAAAAATTATATAATGTGCTTCATTGTAATATGTATTTTTCAAATGTCAATTTATTATAGATTTTATATGCATATATTAATAGGAAATTACGGTCAAACGTCCGCCTAGGAGTATTAATTTTGTGCATATTCATGTAGTTCAGTAGTTGATTTTAGTTTTTATTCTTTCTGCAAACTGAATGTCACAGGAGTAAATGGTGGAGGATCCTCATGGCTGAGCACCAAAAGTGGATCCTGAACTTGAAGAGCACATGAGATTGCTCAAACTTATGTAAACTTATTCTTTTTGTGTATGAATATGGTTAGTTTGTCTATAACAGAAGATAACTTCATAACTTATCTCGACATGCCTGGTTCTTAAGTCGAGGGGAGGTGAGAACCTAGGCGAAAGTGAGAACCTGTTAATAATATGTATATCAGTATATCCTCGTCATTGTTGTCAATAACAATCTACCCAACTGTACTACAATATTTTACAATCAAGAGATCCATATATAGTTTTGAGTGTCTGAACAAGTTCAATTTTAATTAATTTCTAGTGACAGATTATTAGGAACTAGTAGGGGAGAACCCGGTCCCAGTATTGGTCAGCACCTGGACTAGAGCCATTACTTCAGATCGGACAAGAATCAGCCCAACTTGGTATAGTTCTGGTTCCTCCAAATGGGACCAGACCAGACTTGTTTTGTTCCAGCTTATTTTATTCTTTCACGGGTATTAAAACCAGACATTACCTGTATATTCCGGTCCTGGACTACAGTAACGGTGGTGAAGGATCAATTGGGAATTAGCCGGTCAAGAACCATACCAGAACTGGCCCAGGTACACCACTCGGCAGGACGGGCTAGTGAATAGTGATGTAAGAAGAAGGTGAATTGAAAATGAACCGAACACGCATACCACACTGTTACAGATTCCTTTTGGGGCAGATATCAAAGGAAAGCAATCCGCAATTAATGGAGAGTAGACTACAAGAATAGACCGTGGACGAGGGCCTGCACCAACACACTTAACACACACATGCACGGACACATGTACACAATTAATATGCCATGCGATTGTAGTGAAATGTATTTTTACTCTAGTGCTTAGATTAAATAGATAACTACAAATGTTTTTTTTCCCCAACTAGATCCCTTTTGAATATTTCAGAACACATGACACATTGCAAATGTAGTTTTGCTCTAATATTTATTTAGAATATAAATGTCAGCAAATCTAATCATGGGCATTTGCAGTGGTGTTCTGCATTGACATGTTTCTAACCCCCATTTGGATGAAACCTCCACCGATACTCAAGTGTATGTACCTGTCATGTTAAACCGTCAGTCTTGATCCCGTTCTGCAGCAGACTTTTCAAAGCACTTTGCGCATTGGTGACCAAAAGTAGCTGGTCATGTCTTCATTAATAAGGTACTGGAATCGGAGCAGTTTATAAAGGGGTGAAAACCTGAAACGTCTCGGTTTGTTTAGAATAGTGAGTCACTATTCTAAACAATTTTAAGGGGTGGGACGGGGGGAGGGGGTTAATTTTCTGCCAATGCCCGTCCTTATGTATAAACTAAAGACAGTTACTATTAAAACTTGAGAACTCCGAACTCTTATAAGCTGGATTTAGTCTTTGGCAACATGGACTTGATATAGAGCATCACAGTATTCATTGATAAAGAGCATCGCCCCTATGCACCAACAACAACATCTAAGCCTTATCCCAAAAAGAGTTTGGGGTCAGCTACATTTCCCCTATGTGCCCAGAAAAAACTAACAGATTATGGAGTTTTGTCATCAAAGAGAGCTCTATAGAATCGTTTCCTTTCTTCTGAGTCGAATATTCCCCCTAGATCTCCGCTTACTTGTTCTCCCTCTTCCAAACTCTCACAATTTCCATTTCTCCTTCTGACCTCTTTTGCTTCAACCATTCCCTTCTTTCTCTTCTTCTCTAAATTCATCAAGTGGTGTCGCCGGTTGTACTCATGCAGCCCTTCTTGCATTAGCTCTCCAAATTTCTCCTTCACAACTACAAGAGGATCCTTTTCAATGAGTTCAGATCCGTTGTAAGCTTCTCTAAGAAGAACCGTATAAATCTGGTACCTGTTAGAAACATAGAAAATGCCAGGATGCTTGAGCAACAGGATGTTTAGTTTCTCAGGCATGCTGAACTCTCTTCTAAAATGACCAAACTTGACAATTGATGCTTTCTTCCACAAGGATAATGATAGTAACTCGTGCACCAGCCCCACTGTTCTCTTGTCCATCTCTAATGAGCCTTCTGCCAAACATTTATGTTCTGAATAAGGTGAAATGTAAGGCGTCGAGTTGAATTCTTCAAACCTTTCCCTTGATTTCACCCAACTTTCCGGCAAAGAGCACGAGAATCGTGGCACTTGACCCTTTATTTGTGATACCCTTTCGATTGCAGAGGTTGCTAGGTTTTGATCCCAAGATATGAGCTCAATCTCCATTGAACTTCTCCTCCCTGTGTGATTGACAACTCTAAAAAGTTTATCATACTTGGGTATGATTCTAAGTAAATAATCATCCTGAAACCCAAAGTTTCTCTTTAACTCATTAAGCTTCGTAACATTCAGCCTCTGGTCACGGCTCATCATCAACAGCTTAGCTAGCCTCTCGGCAACCACAGGTTCCTGCATATCTTTTATGGAATCTTCCTCATCGACCAAACACATCATTCTTTTGGTGAGCTGGCAGTAGTACTCATCCTTCTCCAGAAAAACCTCAAAGCAACAGGGGTACTTCTTCAGCCAATTCATGGCCTTCCCTTGGAGATCAAGACTCTTGAACTTCTTCTGGAGGAACTTAACAGGGGCCACCTGGTTTGGATATCTCAAGATTATATTTTTTATCTGATTATTCACAATCCAGCGGCGGTTTCTGCATAATGCAGATTCAAGCTCTGGGTCTTTCTTCATAGACCACAGGGAAAATCTTCTCTTGAAGCGAAGAGCGTGTGGTTTGGCATAAATGTTAAAGCTTCCATCTTTGAAGACTTTTAGATGCCAACCACTCATCTCACATCCGCGTAAAGTAATTGCAGAAGATACAATATAAGAGCATCGCCAATGCAGTAGTCTCTCGTCTCAATAAACTGTGCCAAGTGTCATATAAGTAAATTGCTTTCTGGTACACATAATAGGAAGTCTATTGACTAGATATTCAACTACCAAAAGAGCCTCCAATGCACAACACATCCGGCCCAAATTGGTGTAGACAGTACATGGAATTTAGTATGCGTATATTAAAATAATACTCCGTAGTAAATTATAATTCTCAGAGCACTTCAACTCAAAACAAAGTTGCTCCCTAATCTCGCAGAAGATTACAATTCTCCGGTAGCACTCTCATGTATATTCCTTTGATTCCTCCCTAAATCCATAAAAGGTTCGTTTATTTTTGCAATTAATAGAAGAAAAAACAAATTAAAATCAAGCAATTGCAGGTACGGCCAAATTAAAATGAAATCTAACTCTAATGTTGTGTTTGGGTAAGGTGGAAAGGTATATCATGTGCCTGTAAGAACTCTTTTTCAAAAAAGCAGACATTCAATGTGTTTTTGGTGTCTTTATAATGCTTTCATTCATTGAATTTACAGAAAGGATGTATTTATGCAACAACGATTAATCAATAAAAAATTAAAAATATACTCACTGGTGAGACCCGACTTATGTAATCTGTTCTTATTAGAGTTAGTGTTCAGTTTCTTCGCATTTAGTATTTTGTATGTTACCTTGCAGGATTGATAGTGATACATCAAGTAAGATATCATGTGGAGCATAATCATCATTCAACAGGTTCCAATAAGTCAAGGCAGAAAAATGCTATTGATATGCAAAAAATATTAGCGACAGAAATAAAAAATATTAGCGGTGAGGAATTGAGGATGATCGTTATGTGTCTGCAGTTCTTCTGGGGTCTAGCATTGCTGCCAAACAATCTTGCGCCCTATTGTACTTCCAAAAGTGGAAAAACTACCTCAAACATCATAATCTAGTATTCTAGGCCTTTTACTGACTCTCTACAAAAGAATCCCTTTACAGAATGTTCATTTGTGTTTTCTTCAATGAATACAAATATCATGATGCATCTGGGTGTACTATATAGGCACTAGAAGGTCTATAATACTAGATTATGACCCCTGTGATGCTTTTACGCACATAATGCGCATATTGGTTTGGTTAAAAATTATTCCGTATACAGTTTCCCTACGCATGTGTAACAAACAACATATTTTAGGAGTGTTTGGGTTTTGCTTAAAAAAAGCGTTTTTCAGCTTTTGGCTTAAAAAAAGTTGAAAAGAGTGTTTTCAAATGACAACTTCTGCTTAAATTAATTACTTAAAAGCTAAAAGCTGGAAGCAGGTAGAAGGGTGCTTTAAACTGCTTCTCATTTTTTCTATTACACAAAAAGTACTTATTTTACCAAACACTACCAACTTTTACTTTTCCAGAATCACTTTTTTCTCAAACACTACCAACTTTTACTATTAATCACTTTTCCCAAAATCACTTTAAAAAATCACTTTTTTAAAGTTGAAGCAATTGCAAACACTCCCTTTTCATCTTGTAAGTCCTTCTGCTCAAAAAACCCACTAGGCCCGGTGGAAAAAGATAGATAATGGGCAATTATACAAAGAGTTACTCAATCATTTTAACAAACAGTTTGTATATGTGTGTGTGTGAGATTGGTACACAGATTATCCCAGTCACGTACATCAACAATATCACAGCAAATCCATATGTGAATCAACTAAATCAATATTACAGCAAGTAAATCTACAAAAAAAAATTAAAAAAAATATTATAGTGCTGGTCCATATGCAATCCATATCTATCTCATTCAACCAAATCAACAATATTACAGAGAGAGGAGGGAAGAAGAATAGAGGAGAAGAGGGATAGGAGAGGAAGAGACAAACCTGATGCTGCAAGGACTCACGGTTGATTGAGAAGCTGGGCGGCAGAATACAGCTTGAGGAAGGTGGTGGGAGATTGACGAGAAGAGGGACGTTCTGACTTCTGACAGGCGGCCTGGGAGGGTTATAAATGGAATGAAAAGGAAAAATTATTTCGGACTAAAAATAAAAAACACACATTTATTTTTATGTTAAAATATGAGAGAATTCTCTAAATAGGAGTAAAAACGTTTTGAAAATTCTAAAATAGGAGTATCATGTTTTTTATTTCCTAAATAGGAGTAAATTTCTGTCAAGTTTGATATTAAAAGGCTTTAAACATGTTTTTTTTTTCAAACTTGGCATTCAAAAGATGAGTGTGACGGAGATGCGCATGTTGCGTTGGATGTGTGGGCATACTAGGAAGAACCACGTGAGGAATGAGACAATCAGACAAAGAGTGGGAGTAGCACCTATTGAAGACAAGATGCGGGAGTCGCGCTTACGATGGTTTGGTCATGTGCGTAGAAGATTGATTGATGCACCTGTCAGACGAGTTGAGATGTGTGGAGAAGAGGCAGGGAAGAGAGGGAGAGGAAGGCTCAAACAGACGTGAGTTAGGGGAGTCCGAAGTGATATACTTCTTCTTGGGTTAGATGAGGGTATGACTTTGGAGAGAGCAAAATAGAGGGTGAGTATTTGTGTGGAGGAGTGATCTCGTATTATCCTTATATATATATAAACATTATTTTTATCCTTTTTATTTTCTTTATATATTATCCTTTTCATAATAGCTTATCTTTTTTATCTTTATTTTCTTTCTTTTCCTTTTGGTGGTGATATCATGTATCGATTCATGTTTGCCGCCCAATATCTTTTGGGACTAAGGTTTGGATGTTGTTGTTTCTGTTGGCAGATTACTCCTATTCAGAGAATAAAAAAACATGATACTCTTATTTTGGAATTTTAAAACGTTTTTACTCCTATTTAGGGCAATTTCTGTTAAAATATTAACTCTTTAAGAATCTTAGGGTGAAAGGAAGAGCAAATGAGTTTTAAAAAACTCTCTCTCTAGGCCACCGTATGTCACGCCCCGGACCTAACCGGACACGTCAACAATCCGCCGTACAGTACGAATAGTCAACCGCAGTCCAACACATCCATACTATACAAGGCGTCTGGAATATCATTCACACATAGTACATCCATAAACAAACATAATGTAAAATATTCATTCATAGCAGCGGAAACATTCAATACGAGTATTCATGCCACACCTTGGCAAACATGGGCATACAAGCCCCCAAATAAATATTTAAAAATATTATCCATGAGCATTAATTAAATAGTTTGTAAAAATGGAAACGGATGAAGCACGGACCGCGCCTCCCCTTCCTTGGATCCTCCCGAGAGCAACGTCGTTGGTAGCAACCTTCAAGTTCTACCTGAAACTGTGAGGTGGCCTCCCCCGTGAAGGGGAGGTCAGTACTTGGAAGCATTTGACAAGTACAATGACAACTATACTAAGTATAATCAAAGTTTCAATTTCCAAGACCCTCAATCTAAGATGTTATTCATTTGTAATTAACTCATGTATGTTCTCCATGCTAAAGCTCGGCTCATAGTCATATCAATTTGTGCTAGAGCTCGGCTCATAGTCACCCTACGTTTGCTAGAGCTCGGCTCATAGTCATACTAATTTGTGCTAGAGCTCGGCTCATAGTCACCCTACGTTTGCTAGAGCTCGGCTCATAGTCATACTAATTTGTGCTAGAGCTCGGCTCATAGTCACCCTACGTTTGCTAGAGCTCGGCTCATAGTCATACTAATTTGTGCTAGAGCTCGGCTCATAGTCACCCTACGTTTGCTAGAGCTCGGCTCATAGTCATACTACCACGTGCTAGAGCTCGGCTCATAGTCACGTCACTAATCCCTAAACCACTTCTTAGTCTAGGTTCCATCCATTTCGAGTAACCCTTAAGGCCTACTCCAAAAGTAACTTGGGTTCATAAAGTCCACCTTAAACATAGTCCTTAAGGTTACTCAACTCCAAAATCTTGGGATTAGCTCCCAAAAACTATTGAACTACATTCCCAACTAGTATTCCTATACTAGTCATTTAATCTTAATAAACCAATGCAAATTCATAATAATTTGAATATTTCAATTAAATCCCACATTCAAGTATAACTTGGCTCTAATATCAAAATATCACTTTTATCCTTCCATGACTTCCTTACATGAGGTAAAAGTATATTTATCACAATTTAATTTATAGTTTACACACTATTATACCATTGTATTCATAACACATAATCATACACAATTTATTCATAAATTTGTATATTATGCATTTTTGCTTATAAACAATAATAATCTCATTTAGGCATTTTTATTATAAATAAATCATGCCAAATACATATAATTCATTTAGGTAATCTTATGAAATTAACCCAATAATTATAAGCAATATAGTCGGTCATCCTCACCTTAAGCGAGCTTAAGCGCGTTCTACGCTTCCCGATTGAATTTTGACTAATTCCGGCAAACTTTGACCAACTCCGGCGAACTTTGACCAACTCCGGCGAAACTCCGGCGAAGCTCAAAAGTACTTTAATCAAGTTCCTAACAACGTTTTTACATCATAAAACCTTAATCAATACAAATAACCTTTAAAAGGTTATTTTCCGGTGAACTTGTCGGTTTGGCTTCTAAGTCCGTTTTTGGACTTAGAACCACCTTCCAACCCCTTGTTCCACATCTATAACATGTAGAACAATCCTAAGGGTCCTTCATGTGACATATAAGTCATATGATAAATGAACAATAGAAGAAAAATTATTATAAGGTCCTTACCTTAATCCACCTAGTTTTTCCTTCTAAAAACCTTTCTCTTGCTTGGACCTCCTTGAGCTTGTCCTTAGCTATGGAGGATGGTAGTTTTTCTGAGAGTTTTTCCTCTCTCCTGGGGTGTCTTGGCCGCACAAAGAAGGTGAGGGGGTGAGGGTACTCCTATTTGTCTCAATAGGCAAATGAGTGGTGTGGGAGAGGCCCACCCTAAATTGTTTGATTCTTTTCCAATCACCTCCCACTCCCTCCCATACCCATCCAGCCGACCAAGCCTCCTAATTAAGTGTCCAAATTCTTGGGTTGGCCCCCACCCATGTGGGAGGTCAACCCTTTTTGTCCAGAAGTGTACAATTTGTCCCGAAAGTTGTATTTTTCGGACTGTTTTAATTATATTTTATTTTATCGGGTCAAATAAAATATATTATGTGTTCTCAATCATTATGACCCTTATAATGAATATACATTTCCCAATTTTAAATTTATAGGTCTCCGAAATCCAATTTCGGGTTGTTATCCGTTACATTACCAATACCGGTAATTGAGCCGCTTTTGACCAATCGGTCCACATTATGTCATTCCTTTGGACCAAATAAATATTCCACCTCTATATAAATATTATTTCGACCAAGTTGAATAAAATATACGGTCTCAGGAATATCGGGCGGCCCGCTCCCGCGTGGGTCCCACGTGTGAATTTACTATTCACGCAAAAAAAGAAATATTAAAAATTCACAACTTCGTATACTCATTAACCATTCCATAAGGTTCAACACATTATACTTCTTAAAAGTAAATACATTTGGGGACGGTGTTACAAGTTCACCCCCCCTTATTTGGGATTTCGTCCCCGAAATCCACGTGTCTAATCGAAAAGAAACGGGTATTGCTCCCTCATTGAGACCTCAGTCTCCCATGTTTCTTCTTCGACTCGATCACTCCTCCAAAGAACCCTTACCATAGGAATCTCCTTGTTCCTCAGTTTCTTCACCTGTTGACCCACAATCTTTACCGGTTCCACCGCGTATTGTAGGTCTTCACGTATCTCCACCGGTGGCTTTTCAAGAATATGAGACGGATCCCTCACGTATTTCTTGAGCATCGATACATGGAACACGTCGTGTATCTTCTCAAGTTCCGGCGTCAACTTGAGGCGGTATGCCACAGCCCCTATCCTTTCAAGGATTTCAAATGGACCAATGTATCTGGGGTTAAGCTTTCCCCTCGATATAAATCGTATGATACCCTTCCAAGGAGAAATCCTTATGAAGACCTTATCACCGACCTCGAACTCCAATGGTCTTCGTCGTCTGTCGGCATAACTCTTCTGCCGATCTTGGGCAGCCTTCAGTCTATCCCGAATGATCCTCACCTTGGCCTTGGTGATCTCAACCAGCTCTATCCCTTCGAGTTTGGCCTCGCCAACCTCGTCCCAACACAACGGTGTTCTGCACTTCCTCCCATACAATGCCTCATATGGAGGCATGCCGATACTTGCCTGATAACTGTTGTTATAGGCAAACCCCACTAGAGCCAAATGCTTGTCCCAACTTCCTTGGAACTCCAAAGCACATTCCCTAAGCATGTCTTCCAAAATCTGTATCACCCGCTCGGACCGTCCATCCGTCTGTGGGTGAAAGCTGTGCTAAACTTCAGTTTAGTCCCCAAAGATGCTTGAAACTTTGGCCAAAATCGGGATGTGAATCGTGGATCCCTATCCGAGACAATGGATATTGGGACTCCATGTAATCTCACAATCTCCTCCGTGTATAGCTTGGCCAATCTTTCAAGAGGATAAGTAATGTTGATAGGCAGAAAGTGTGCACTCTTGGTGAGCCTATCAACCACTACCCATACTGCATCGTAGTTGTTCACTGTTCGTGGCAGCCCCACCACGAAGTCCATGGTCACATGTTCCCACTTCCACTCTGGGATGGTGAGTGGTTGCAAGAGCCCTGCTGGGTGCTGATGCTCTGCCTTAACTTGCTGGCAAGTAAGGCATCGACTCACAAACTCTGCGATATCACTTTTTCATACCCGACCACCAGTAACTTTCCTTCAAGTCTCAGTACATTTTAGTACCTCCTGGATGCATAGCATATGCCGAAGAATGAGCCTCCTCTAGTATGGACTTTTGTAGCTCCTCACTCTTTGGTATGCATACACGGTCTTTAAACAGTAAAAGACCGTCATCACGTACCCGAAAGTTCTCCACGGGCCCTTCAAGGATCCTCTCGCGGATCTTCTGGCATCCTTCATCAGTGGCCTGACATCTACTGATCTCACTCAGCAATGTAGGCCTAACCTCG